CTTTACTGAAAGGAACAGTTAATGATTAATTATTTGATCAATCTTGCATGTCTATATTTGTTTTCCTGAGAAACCACTTTGAAGATATCAATATGTAATACAACAACCATTGTTAATTTCTTATCACTTTGTCTGTAATTCAGTATTGCTTGTATTGTTCTTATGCTATTTTGTAAATGGATATCTGTTTGTTAATATGTTTTTGTTCTTTTATTTTTAAAATAAATTTTTAAAAAATGAGAGAAAAGTTGCCATACTGGAAAGTTGTCAGATGAGAGGTAATTGAGGGAACTTAAGATATTTAAGAAGGAGCACTTTCACCTTAGCATGATATACAGTAGTCCCTCCTTCATCCATGGTTTCATCTTCTGTACATTCAGTTACCTAGGTCAACTGCAGTTCAAAAATACTAAACAGAAAATTCAAGAAATAAACAATTCCTAAGTATTCAGTTGTGTGCCACTCTGGGAAGCACAATGAAATCACACACCTGCTCAGGACCTGAGTTATTTTGTCCAGCGTACTCACACTGTGTACACTGCCCTCCCATTAGTCACTTAGTAGCAATCTCGGTTACCAGATTAACTATATCAGTACCACAATGCTTGGGTTCAAGAAACCTTCATTTTACTTAATAATGGCCCCCAAAATAGAAGAGTAGTGATACTGGAAATTCAAAAAGTGATAGTGGTCAAAGAGAAGACATTAAGTCCTTCCTTTAAATGACACATATGTTGGTTTACCTGAAGGGAAATATCAGGCATATATAGGGTTCTACACTACCTGCAGCTTGGTGATGAAATATATGCCCTACAAATAAGGGGAGGCTACTATTATTGAACTGGACAGGCATGCCACCAGGTAAGACCTGTTGGTACCTAAGGTAAGAATTCCAGTTCTGGTCTGATCTCTCTACTCTCCCTTTTTCACTTCAAAAATACTGTACTTTGTCCTCTGTTCTCTAATAACTCTAAACTCTTTCCCACAAATTCTGGTAAAACACAAACTTCTCACTTACTTGTAATTTCCTATCTTCCCCCATTGTTTGTGCTGTCTTCTCAATGCATTCTTTTGTTTGTTTGTTTGTTTTTTGTTTTTTTTTTTCCGGTACCGGGAATTGAACTCATGACCTTGCACTTGCCAGGCAGGCGCTGTGTCGCTGAGCTAAATCCCCAGCCCTATGCTATCTTCTTTACTGGAAATGCACTGCCCTCCTTTTTTCCCTTGGATGATTTTTACATTCACTCAACACAAGTGCCACATCCAGAAGCTTTCCTCAAAAATATTCCCCCTCTTTTTGGGCGGGTACTGAGCATCCAACCAAGAGCCTTTTCCTGAGCTTACATAAGCCCTTTATAGTTTGTTTGTTTGTTTGTTTGTTTTAAATTTTAAAACAGGGTCTCGGGGCTGGGGATTTAGCTCAGCGGCAAAAGCGCCTGCCTGGCAAGCGCAAGGTCGTGAGTTCGGTTCCCGGTACCAGAGAAAAACCAAAAAAAATAAAAAAATAAAAATAAAACAGGGTCTCACTAAGTTGCCCAGGCAGGGCTCAGTTCAGTCCTCGGCCACAGCTTTCCAGAACGCTGAGATCATAGGTGTGTGAAATCATGCCCAGCTCCTCCTTCTTTACAAGATATTTAGTGCTTACCTATGAAATATTCTGATCATGTAATTGTTTTGCACACCAAACTAGGAGACTGTCAAGACCAAGAACTATGTTTATTTTTCTTTATACACTCAGATTCTAACTTTGCACAAAACAGACATTCAAGTATTTGTTTAACTGAACATATATGAACAACAACTTCTTAAGGTTTTGTGGGGATTTACTGAAATGGCATAGCCCCATTTTTAATTTTCCTCTTAAATCAAAGGCAACAACAGCAAAAGAAAGGAGAAACGAATTAATTTGAAGTACCCACTATGTGCCAACTATGAACTAGATACTGAGGAATCAGAAATGCCTTCAAAATACAAAAAACAGTGATGAGATTCTTATTAAATATCTATAATATGAGGTCGCATTTGATAAACTCTTAAGACAAGATGCAAATAAAGGGTTAAGGGAATTAACAAACAAGTAGTGTCCTTCACTGAATTCAGCAAGCAGCACTGGCAAGGGTGGAGCTCACAGGGAAAAGAGCAGCTGCGCGCGAACAGTACCCTCTGAATTCTGCTTCTGCTTGAATACTTTCCTTTTATTCCACAGCAGCATCCAGGAGCTTTCTCCTCACTCCTCAGAATTCCACAACAGCCACCAGTCATGGCCCCCTTGTCTTGAGTTAGAGCAAGGGCAGCCTACTGTACCCATAATAATTTCAATAACCACCAAAATAGGGGTGGCTTGTGGAAAACCTAAATCCTAAAGGAAAATATAATAGAGAAACTGATGGTGTTATTTCCAAAGTAAAGTCTTGTGAGCCTCCAAACATCAATAAAATCATAAACACACACACATACACACACACACACACACACACACACACACACACAGAAAGCAATTATCATAGTACCCAAGGAGTAGAAAGCTTTGGCTTAGTATCAACTGTGTCCTCAGAACACACTTATGTATGAAGTGGTACATTTTACAAAAAAGGAAACTGAGGCGCAGAACGATCAAGAGAATTGCTCAAGTCATAGACGATGTGGAGACAAAACACAGAGTGTCTATTATACTGCAGAGTGTGTGTTCTTTTCATTACCACCAACCTGCCCACCTAGCCTGCTGTATTCCCCTACACATGCAATAGGTTTCTCTCTAATCAATACTACCTATTACCTTTAGCTAAGTATTGATTCGTGTGCAGCTTCAAAACATTCACCTCCTATTGGCAGAGGCCAGCCTGGCTGCAGACAAAAAGATGATTCAAAATAAGTCCATGTGCTCTGCATTCATGGTCTCTTTTGTGTCAGGCCCAGTTTTTTCCGGAGGCCAACTCTGAATTACTCCCATAAGCACCCTAATCCACCTGAACTATGGTGGCGGCAAAGAAGTATGATCCTCAGCACCATACATACTACTTGTTACGCACAAGCAACAGAAATAACCAAAAGATGGTGCAGAAATGATGAGACGCTATTTAAAGGCCTATTCTACAGGGGCTTGGGACGCACATCTGTAATCCCACCACTCTGGGAAACTGAGGTAGGAGGGTCTCAAGTTCAAGCCCCATCTGGGCAACTTAGAGACTTAGTGAGACCTTGTCTCACAATTTTACAAAATTAAAAAAGGGCTGGGGAGGTAGCTCAGTGCAAAGGCCCTGGGTTAAATCCTCAGTCCTAAAAGAAAAAATAAAGAAGAAAAGCCTGTCCTAACATTCCTATTCCCCACCAAGTGGCATGGAACAGCAATTTCAGTTCTTGACACAGATGACAAAGCATAAACTTTGGTGTTTGATCCAGGACTTAAAAGGGGGGAAACTGAGAAATCTGTTTTCTCATCTGTAAAAGGAAATGAGGATTCAAAACAGTAAGTATAAGTTGCCCAGCCCATTGTAATATCGCTTGGAAACTGAAATAAGTGTTAGTCACTATTTTCAGTTACTTTTATGAATGTGAGTAGCAGAGAGAGCAGCAGTACTGTTTTAGAGTCACACACAGAGACATCCTTAATGAACTGTATGGAAACCAGCTCTTGCATGAGTCCTTTCCCCTTTGGCACAGCACTGGGTACAGACGTCTTGCACGAGCAGGACAGAGCGCACATGTGAGGAGTGATCTCCCACTCCTCCCTGCCAGGCTCCCAAACTCTTGATGAACCAAGGAGGCGAGTGTTGGTAATGAAGCAGAGTGGTAGGAAGCACTCCATGTAAAATATTCAAATCCCAGCTGCTGTTCCGAAGGCCCCAGAGCCCATATACCCAGATCCAAAACAAATGAAAAACAAGAGAGCAACTAATAAGTTAATAACCACTTCAGAAACGACCACCCTCGCTCTGTTGAGCAGCTACTTAAATTCTGATGGTTCCCACTCATTTCCGGTGTATAATTCTAATCAGAGCAAAAGTCCTTAATCACAGCACCATTATAGGGTCTTCTCTCTGAGCCTATTAGGACTTTTACAAAGTGGATATCTGTGTGTGCTGGTTTCTGCAGAGGAAACTGAGTCATCAGCTCACAGGTCTCTTTCTGATGCTACCAGGCTACAAGGCAGTACCCTTTGCTCCTCATGCATTTGATTTTCTCACTATGACTAAGCCCTCCACCCGCCCACACCCTGTGGCTAAAGGCCATAAATATCCTCTGTCCTTTGGTCAGCACACGTATCCTGCATCTATGCTGTGCTGTTCATGTAACTGTTCTTAACTCCTCTTTCTCATATGTAAAGCAATTGGTCAAAACCTTAAAAGCCTTAATGTGCTGAGACAGGATGGTGCCTTTTATGAGGTTATTATGGAGGTGTTAGGAGAGGGATATGGGTAGGAAATAATAACAACTAATGGAGCAGGCCAGAAAGGTAAGTGCATTTATACTATTGGGGGCTTTAGAGGGAAAAAAAAGAGAGAGAGAAAAGAGCCATATTACTGGTATACAATATCTTTCAAAAGTTTTAAAAAGAAAAATGTCGTGTGCTTTCATTACAAATTATTCTCACCTCTGGGTCAATTCCAAAATTGACCTTGGCCCCCTCAACGGGCCCGTACTATTATTGGAACTGGAGTGTGTAGTGTAGTGGTAGAGTGTGTGCTTAGCATGGGCAAAGCCCTGGATTTGACCTCAGCACTGCAAAACAAATAACCGACACAGACAGAGAGACAAAGACATTGATCTCTTAACCCAAAACTCTAAGTGGCTCTCCAGTCTCCACTAAATCAGGACCTAACTATTTCAACAAAGTGTTTGAGTGTTTTTGTAATCTGGCCCCAAACCCTGCCTCCATCAGATCTTACCATCTTCTTCCTTGAAGTCCAGTTCAAAGAATTGGAAGAAGGGACAACCAAAGAACACAAAAGCTTAACATTTATTAAAAGTAAAAGAAGAATAAAAAAATGAAAAAGAGGTCTCCAAAAAAAAAAGAAGTAAAGAGGGAAAAGAAAATATACCCTGCATGCAAAGCAGGCCACTGCAAGAGCAAGAAGACAGTGAACACAAGGCCGATGGCCACTGTAGTGGTTAACTGACTGTCAGCTCGAGTGGGGAACACCCAGCTGAACTGAGTAAGCACGGTTCTGGACATGGAAGACCCAGTGAAGGAGGCTTGTTGTCTGAACAGTATACAAGGAGAATGGGAGGGACTTCAGCTGATTTTCCTTAGAAGAGCTTTGTTCTGGCTACTTTTCATCAGAGAGGCTTTGGCTGTTCTCTTCAGCTGAGCTCCGGTCTTCGCCCTCTCCAAGGATGGTTGCTGTTCTCTTTGGAGGAGCTTTGTCTTTGCCTTTGCCTTGGGCATCCTCTCTTGGCTTTCGGTACAGATTCTTTAGCTTCCAGCACTGACAGTTTAGCCTGCCAGCGCAGACTCTCTAGCCTCCAGCATGGCCCCTTGGGCTTTCCAGTGCAGACCTTTCAGTCTTCCATCACAAATTCCTCAGCCTCCTGATATGGATCCATATCGGACATTGCCTTGGGCTCCAGGCCTTCAGCTGGATTCTTCAGATCTCTAGTGCAGGGACAGATCTCTTGCACTCTTCTACATTTGACTCTGTGGGCAGATATTGTCAGCTAATCTTATAAATTTCTGTGTCCTGCATTAAATCTGTTTCTCTTGTAAATATTGACTACAACAACTGTTATCCTTTATAACCTCTTTCTGATATCATCAGCTCCAAGCCAGCTCAAGCAGGGTTCTGAAGCTGCTCTGTGCATGCAACCTGCCTATGATGGACAGGTCTCTGTAACTGACAGATCACATCCAGCTGCCCAGCTGGTTTGCCATGCCCTAATCTCCTGCCTCATAATGATACCACATATGGACACTATAGCCATTTTATTCACTTCCCTGTCGTAGCACAACAAAAAATCAGACTCTAAGGAGTTTGAACCCTAATAAGGCCAATAATGAGATTGTTGATCTGGGATGATTTATTTAACCTCCACCAGCCTCCATTTGCTTACTTATAAATGGGCAGAAGAATGATCCCTACTTCACTGGGTATGAGGATATTATGCCTGAGGATCTCATGAGATAATAATACATGTCAGGTTTGTGGCCTGCTGTCTGACACAAAGTGTTCACTAAAACATAGTTCTGGTTCTTGTGTCTGGTGGACACTTTTCGAAAAGGGTCACCATGAATTGTCTTCTTCCCCTAAATAAATAAATAAATTTATTTATTTATTAATAAATAAATTTATTTATTTATTAATAAATAAATGTGTGCTACCTGGCCTATTAAGTCTGTTACACTTTCCTCTTGAGTAAAGACTGGCACTGTGACATTTTTCTCTGCTTTAATAAATGCTCCCTTTAGAAGCCTGGAAGCTCCCACTTTCTCTGTGGTGATTCTGGTCACCTTCCTGTAAAGAAGCTTGTCGTAGAGTCTGGAATGATGAGACACCACCAGAAATGAGAAAGGCCACATGAAGAAACATAGAGGCACTAAACACAGCAGTGAAGCTACACTGGGTCAGCCCAGATGCCAGTTGAACACACCTGCCCCAACTGAGTCCAGCAAACCCACAGTGAGTCCATGGATTTATCAGACATCATACATTTCTGAGTAGGTAACCTAATAATATCTATTCATTTTCTGTCCTAGCTCTGTATGCCCTACGCCTAGACAAAGATCTGAGTAAACTCATACATTAGTACACCAGCAGATTTGAGCGTGTAAGTGCCCAAGGCAAACATTTGGATACAATACTATTGAATGGATTCTTTCCTATCTCTTTACAAAGACATTATACATGCAAAGTCAAAGGCCAGGGCGAGAAAACATGAATACACTCTGACAACATAAGTGAGGAGATCCCATTTTTGAAAGCTCTAAACTCAACATGGTGGCTGAACAGGTCACTTCCAAAGTAGTCTGGCTGAGCCCCCCGCGCCTTGCGCCCAGGCAGCGAGTTCTCCGGGAGCTGCAGCGCTCCTGGGTCCGAGTGTGGGCCGGACTCATACCAC